ACTTCGCCCATGAAAAACAAAAAAACGTAAAGATTAAAAACAGGGAACGTTGAGTCGAGACTGTCGATCCTCTCTGGCTTCCCCGAGTCCACATGCGTCTCACAAATCTCCGCCGATGTCCTGAAGTGAGTGGAGGGGGTGGGAGTCGGTGCAGGGGGGTGAACGGGGGAGCGGGAGGGGTTGTAGTCCGTTCCTAATGGAGCCTCGCGTGGGCCGGAGTTGTCGCACTCGGCAAGCCTCGGTGGAGTTGGACTTTAGGATCCTGTTTTTCAGCATCAGCCTGCCTCTGTGTTTGCGTGTGCGTGTGTGTGTGTGTGTGCGTTTGCCTGGTTTACGGGGACCACGTTAAAGGGTGGTCGGCCATGGCGCTCACTCGTCTTTTTTCTTTTTTGTTGTTGTTTTTTTCCTCCATTTATATTCAACCGGGGGGGTTTCGTCAGTCTGTCCGCCCCGGTTTCATACCCCCGGGTATATTCGGGGGCTGGGTGTCTGCAGCGAGTCCACACGGCTCTCCGAGTATTTTTCAAGTGGGCTACTCTTGGCTGGCGTCCCCGCTGTCAGTCAGAATGATGCAGACGCAGCCGCCGAGGGCTGGAGGCGGGGCTTTGCGTGGCCAACCAAGGTGGAGGCCTTAATTTCATATTTACGATGGAGAGGGAGGAGGTGAGCGTGTGTGTGTGTTTTATATGTATGCGGTGTGTGTCAGCAATCTAAAGATCTGCCCAGAAACGACTCCTGACCCTCGGTGGAGTTCGTGCCGATTGGTAAAAGCAGAAGAAGAAGCGAGTGTGGTGGTTAACTTTCTACTACTTGTTATCGTGCAGAGGAGCGTCTCCCCAGCTAAAAGGACTACACTGATGGAGGAGGTGGAAGGAGCCGTTTCTGGACAGGTCCTCAGAGAGTGCGTGTGTGCGTGTGTGTGTGTGTGCACAGGGCTAGTGCAGGTAATCGTCCACAGAGGCGAAGGCGCAGGAGCCGCTGCCAGTTCGTGCCATGATGGCGAGGCACTGGGCGGCCTGACCCACGGCCTGGGCCAGGGGGGGCTGCTTGGGCAGGTTGTGAGTCTCTGGAGAGAAAAAGGAGAGAGAGGAGGAGCAACGGTGTCAGAGGAGTGCAAACAGGAGGGATTGTGGATTGTTGGGCAGTATCTGAAGATCCAGAGCTTTCAACCACAACAAACATAGCAAACATAACTGCAGAAAACGTGCAGTTCAGAGGAGTAACAAATGACAACTGCTCCAAAGATTCAGAGGGTGGAGAGTAGAGTTGAGGGTTTAATCCAGACAGCGTGGACAGTTGACCTACCTAGTATTGCACTGTTGAGAGTGGAGCAGACGGGCTCTCTCTGAATGGCGTCCAGCTGGTAGCCGACTGGGCTGTTCCAGGGGTCTGAGTAGGCCAGCAGGCTGAATGCATCCTGCAGCAGGAGACACACGGCAGCAGATACTGATCACACCACAAGTTAACACCGAGGGACCGTGGCTATAAAGTGATTACGTTTACGCAGCATGGATCAGGCGAGCTCGGGGATTCCTGCGTTACCTTGAGCATCTTCTTGTTGGCCGAGTTCTTGCCACACTCGCGGCGGAGGTGTTCGCTCATGCTCTGGAGCTCCCTGCCGAAATGGATCATCCTCTCGATGGCCGCCTGGCTCCCGCCGCACAGCTGCCGCTTGGACTGAGCCGACTCCACCTCTGAGGAGCCACGGCCAGTTTGGCATGCAAAATGTAGGTTTGTAGGTAAATTTAATGTAGGTGGAATGTGATGGTTCATTTACAGCTCGGGCATTTAGCTGGACAGCAACAGTAGAAGTTCTCAAAAGAGGACATTAATACAGAAAGAATAGTGACAATAGTCTTTTTCTGCTAGAATACACAGCCTGTCACTAACACCTCCACTCTACTCACCCATGTCTGCGTCACAGTCGTCGGGCTCGGTGGTGTGTTTGGAGCTGCCGTTGAGGAAACCATTGGAGGACGATTCTGTCACTCCGTTGGTGAAGTGGTCAACTTCCATATCCACATCGCTACTGAGGGAAGACGGGAAGAAAAGGAGAGAGAAACAGTCGGTATGTGGGACAGGAATTCCTCCTCAGTGAGTGTCGGTGGAACATCGCTGAAGATTAAAACGCTGAGAACGATCTCATGTGAAACACGTTGGAGGTCAGAACCTCATTTTTCAATTCCTGAGAACAGCTGATAACATTTCTAAAATGACAAACAGTGTGCAATAAACAAGGTTCATTTCTATGCTGATTTACTTGATGTACCTCTGATTCATCTGATATCGTGTCAGGATAATGCCAATTTCCTGAATCTAATGAACTAGATAATAATTGCAGCTCAATGATGCACACTGGGTAGCATCCAGCTGAGGGTTGTGTAGGAGGAGTTAAAACCAGCATTGCTGAAGGTCAACAGTGTGATCCGTCACCTGTAACCACACCCAACAATGATGTCACAGTGTACTGACCAGGTTGAGATGTTAAACTGGAGGTTCAGCTGCAGTTCAGTCGCTCTTTAATCTCACACTTTGTTAAAGGCAACGAGGAGCAGCAGTAAAACGCTTCCTGAATTTACACTGTTTTTATTCAGATATGTGGATTCAAGCTTGTTAAGTTAAAGTGGAATCAAGTTCAGGGTTTCTGCAGGTTTTAAACAGGTTTATTTAAAGACCATTATGAATTCCCATTTTACATCCACACTGGCAAAAATAAAATGAAGGCAAATCAGTATTGGTTCCAGGTTGGTTTTGTTTTGGAGTTGCTACAGCATGATCAATGCAGATCTGCCTGAAAGAGACTGAAAAACTTCATACAAGTAACATTAACTCTTTAAACCAAGACATTAAGAGCTGAGAAATTAAATGCTGTTGGTGTTCTTGCGGTTTCTCTCGGTACCTGGTTAGGGGCTGTTGGCTGCGGCTCCCGTTGAGGCTGATGTCAGACGCTGGGAGGGTGGAGCCAGAGCCTGGGGGGCAGGGCTTGTGACTGTGAGGGGAGGAGCTGTGGCTCTTATTAGACGTCACACCATTACAGCAGTTGCTGTCAAACCCTAAAAACAGCAGCGGGGTGAAAGATGGACATTTTTTTAACCATTAACAGATGACTCACCTAATCTTTGCAAATACTGATGAGTCAACTTGAACTGAACATGAGGGCAGGTTGAAGCTTCTGATTAATTAATTAATTTGGTATTTGCATTTAATTAAATGGTGCTACAACATCTAATGAGTGAATGCGTACACAGCTGTCGATCCAGATGCTGTTCAGTGTTTCAGGCAATAAAAAGCAAGATGTCAGTCTGTTTGTTAATATGTCAACACACTGCAGGACAGACAGCAGGCTATAAAACGGTTACGACTACTGGATGTAAAGTGGGGCAGTATTTACACTCAGGCTTGTTCTAAATCAGCAGATGTGAATATTCGCAGAGCACAGCTGGACCGTACCTGGGAGGTAGGGCTGGGAGCTGCTGGCTTTGTGGCTGGGGCTGCTGAAGGGCCGGGGGGAGCCGGGGTAACTGTCCTGAGACTTTGGGCTGCGACCTCCGAGACACCTCACCTCGCTGTCCGTCCCATTCACCATCTCTATGAACTGTCTCACCCTGAGGAAGGCAGGGGAGGGAGGGGAAGGAAACAGGAAGGAAGGGAAGCACAGGAAATAAATACAGACACAATGAAGCAAAGATGGAACGGAAGAGTACACAGAGAGGAAGCAAAGAGCAGAAGAGAACAGGAGGACAGGAATAAAAACACAGACTGAACCACATGAAAAGGTTTGGTCTTACTTGAGCATGAAGAGAAGGTCTGGGTTCCTCTCCAGGAGGTTGGGGTAGAGCTGCTGGGTGGTCTCGATGGCCTCGCCCATTCTACCTGACAACACCAGCTTCTGGATCTCTGCAAACCAACAGCAAACGCGTTTACAACCGGCGATACTCATACCATGTTTCCCGGCACCAAAACCAGACTGAGATTATGAATTAATGAATTATGAAATAAGCAAATACAGCAGTAACATTGCAGGAACTATGTGGGCTTCAATATTTCATCACAGGTTTCTATTTTAGTGATCATTTACACCCACACTCTCAAAGCTGTGTGAGTGTGATTGACAGGTGATCAACCTCAGCACCAAAGATGGGACAGGAAGAAAGAAGGAAGCCGTGTCCCAATTTCACAAACTAATTGCGTACAGAATGTGCTATACACAAATCTTACTTCTTAATATAAACTCAAAACCCAGCGTAGAATGTGTGTGTGTCAGTCTGCAGCTGTGTCCCAAATGCATGACACACACACACACACA